GGAGTGCAGTGCTCCTGCGGGGCTGGCTGGGTGCTGCAGGCAGACGGGCAAAGCTGTGCTGGTAAGAGGAGGTCAGGGTGCATGTGCTTCTGTCACTGCTTGGCCACTGACAGCAGTGTCACAGAGCCCATGCTTCTGGGGGAACACCTGCCTCTGCCCTGCTCCTGCCTGTCACATCTGGTCCTATAAAGATTGTGTCTAGATAATGTTTCAGCAGCAGCTGGTGCATTTTGGTGCTGAGGCGCATGTTCCGGTATTTAGAGAGCTTGCCTGTAGTCCCAGGGGAGCAGTGGCGATGCTCTCTGGGACAGCTCTGTGGCAGGCTCACCTCACCTATCTGTGCAGATGTGGATGAGTGCTCCCTGGAGTACAGCCCCTGCAGCCAGCTGTGCACCAACACCCCGGGCACTTTCAGCTGTGCCTGTCTCCAGGGCTACACCCTGCAGCATGGTACTGCCTGCGAAGTGGCAGGTAGGGGAGAGGAGGGGACCCCAGGCTGGCTGAGGGCTGGGCAGTGCCCCCAGCTAGCCGTGTCCCTGGTCACTGAATGACTTTCCTCTCACCCTGGCAGACAATGCAACACAGATCCTGGTGGCTGTGGGGCAGGATCTGGCCCTTCTGGATGTACGTACCCAAGCCTACCGACCTCTGCTCTCCACTGAGACCGAACCCCACGCTCTGGTGTATGACCTGCTCCGAGAAACCTACTACTGGCTGACAGAGGATGGAGAGCTCCGTGTTCACCACCCAGGGAAAGGCACACAGCCTCTCTATGCAGGTGAGAAGGACCAAGCATTCCAGGTGCCGTAGCAGGGCTGAGATGGATGCTGGGAACTGGTCTGCCACCCCAGTACTGTTTTTACTGTATAGAGGAAGGGGCAGCCTGAGTTTGCTGCACAGCCTGGCGCAGGTGTGCCTTAAAACTGCTCTGTCTCTACAGATGCCAGAGAGGTAAACAGCATCTCCGTGGACTGGTTCACAGGGCAACTGTACTGGGCCAGCAGCCGTCCTCCAGCTATCTGTGCAGGGCTGGGTGATGGCCGGGGTTACATTACAGTGCTGAGAAAGGACATTGCACCAGAGCAGCTGACAGTACATCCAGCTGCAAGGTGAGCAGTGAATGAGCCAGGGTTGGCCCAGGCTTCTGAGATTGCAATGCTGATGCTGACCATGCAATGCCTGCTGTGGGGATATGGCAGCACTGGTATTATGCTGTGAAGTGTGTGCTGAGTCACTTCCTCTAGGTCCCTATACTGGGTCAACCGTGGACAGAGGGGCCGGACAGTCATTGCTGCAGCCGGCATGGATGGCTCAAACAGGCGGGAGCTAACAGTTGTATCCATGGAGGAGCCTGTGGGGCTGAGCCTGGACCATGTGGCTGGCAGGCTGTACTGGATTAGCGAGTACAAGGAGGTAGGGGATGAGGGGTAGCAGGGCAGGGGGATGATGAGTTGAGAGGGTGGCCCTGGTTCCCTTGTGTCTATGGCCAAAGCATGGGAGGGAGCAGGGAGCAGTGCCTAGGTCTGGCATACATCCTTGGGTTGGGAGGAGAAGGGCCAGGTTGTGAGGATGCCACATGGCCACCATGCCTTGCCTTTTACCCAGTCCATCGAGACACTGCGGGTGGATGGCAGCGGGCGCCACTCCTTCCATGCTCTTTTGCGGGGCCACATGGAGCCGCTGGGCCTGGCCGTGTTTGAGAGCCGGTTCTTCTGGACCGATGGCACAGAGCTGGTGTCAGCCACCTGGGCCTCTCCCCAGGAGCACACAGTGTTGCTCCGTGCCTCTGTCTCAGCTTTCACCGTGCTGCACGCTCTGCAGCAGCCTCCCAGTGAGTACCCTGCAGGTGCTGCATTACTGCAGGGGTGGCAGTATGGCAGCAACCCCCACTACATTCCTGGGTTCTAGGAAAGGCTCACTGAGTCCTGGAGCTCACCAGGTCCTGCCCAATGGTTTGCCTGGTCCTGTGATGAGGGGTTGTGGGGTTGGTACAGAGGGGACCTATAAAACTGTAGGAAAGCTGCCAAAGCCTGTGGCTTTGGTAGACCTGAGCCCCCTTAACTCATGTGATATCACTACCCTGCTTCCAGCTCTTATCCAGCCCCAGGACAGTCTGTGGTTTTTGGGGATTGGGAGAGATATCGGGGTCATGACTGCCTGAGCTTTTAACATCCTCTTGCTCCCAGGGGACACTGCTGCATGTGCTCTGGGCCTGTGTAGTCACCTTTGCCTCCTGTCCCCTGTGCACCCTCGGGGCTACAAGTGTGCATGTCCAGAGGGCCTCTTCCTCCTGCCCTCGGGGAAGTGTGCAGGTGAGCAGTGTCTGGCTCTCTGGGGTGGAATACATCTGTGTGGGAGTTGGAGGAGGGCCATAAGGCACTGTGGCTTTGGTGGGATGAGGTTCCCAACAAGCACCAGTGCTGTGACATTTGTGTTTTGGTTCATTCTGGTGACCCTGTCCAGTGCCCTTGAGGTTGTACTCACACACTGCCCTTATGCCCTGCAGAGCTGTCCATTGTGTATGCATCAGGAAAGGTCATCTCCCTGGTTCATGTGGGCCCTGGTGCACACACCAAACAGGTGCAGGAGTGGCAGGAGCCCATCCACCTGCAAGATGTGGACTGGCAGAGGTCAGTGCTCTATGGGACAGATGACCGTGGGACTCTGCTGCGTGTCATGGGCCATCCCAGCAGGAGAGAGGCCATTGTGACTGGGCTGCCAGGTGAGACCCTATGGGGGTGGTAGAGGGCACATTTCCCTTTCTGATACTGCCTGAGGATCTCCTTGATACAGAGCACAGTGGTCTGGTGCTGCCTGCAGTGAGGCCATGTCAAAGCAGTGGGCAGCTGTGGGGCACCACACAAGGCCTAGGGGCACCCAGGCAGAGGTGCAGGGTCATGGGACAGCCTTGTAACTGCTTGCCTGCCTGCTCTTGCCAAGTGTGTTCTGCCCGTGTGGATGTCCGCTCGGGGGACCTATACTGGCTTGCATGTAACCGGAGGGACATCGGGGTGATCCAGACAACTGACATGTCCCCACGCATCCTGCACCATGCTCGCAGCAGCATCCAGCACCTCTTCTTGGACTGGCAGCGTGGTACTCTGTACTGGCTGGCCCGTGGGCAGCCCCTGCAGGCACTGAGTCTGGCAGGGGGTGCTCCATGGGATGCCTGGAATGAGACGTGGCCTGGAGACCAGCCTGCAGCCATGGACAGCAGAGCCTTCAGCGTGCTCTGGAGCTCAGCCCTGGGTGAGCCCTGGTGGCATCTGGAGCAGGGAGTGGAAGTGGTGGACGTAGGCAGGAGTGATCAGCCATGCCCTACCCCTGCCTGGGCAGCGGGATTCTTATGGGGCAGACTCTGTCTTGCGGCAGAGTCCCTGGCCTCAGCCATGAGGTCCCTGCCATAACTGTGGGTAGTGGGGCGCAGAGTGAGCCGTGAGGGATGAGGGGCAGGCGCCAGGTCCTACCATGCCTCTGCCTCACAGGCCTGCAGGCGCTGAGTCTGACCAAGCGGCAAGCAGTCACCCTGGCACCCAGCTGGCCGCATGGCCTCCTGGCCGCCTTTGAGCCATACTTGGTATCTGCAAATGGGACAGCTCTGCTGCTGTGGGACCGGAGGACGCTGGCTCTTGTGCTGTCCATGCCAGCAGCAGGCGTGACGGGAGTGGTTGCCTTCGTGGGCTCAGAGCTGCAGGCTGGTAAGAGTGGCCACGGGTTTGTACCTGATGGGGTTGGGTGGCCCTTGCTACTCTGAGCTGTGGCAGGGTGCCTGGCTACTGGTGGTCATGTGGGGTGCTCTGGAAGGTGCCTGGAGCGTGGGGAGGACATGGCCCCAACAAATCCCAAATCCTCTGCCAGTGCCGCCAAGCAAAGGGTCTGCTGTGCCACTCCTTCCACCTGTGACCACCACTATGAGGACAAGCACAAGCACCACTACTGCTCAGCCTACCACCTCCACCACAACACCACTGCTAAGCCAGACTACCACTGCACTCAGTACTACTCCTGCACCAACCAGCAAGGCTATCAAATCACAAACCACCACCAGACAATCCACATCAAAGAAGACCACCCCTGCACCAACCACTGGCCGGATCACACTGACCAAGACTACCACTGTGCAGCCAGCCACCAGCACCACTCAATCTTTTACAACTAAGAACACTGCCCCACAGCCAACCACTACCACCCCACGCTCAAACAGTTCTGCATGGGTAGTGACACCTACCCCGCCCCTCCGGTCCAGCCCTGCACACCCCCTGACCCCAGTTTTCCATCTGTCCTGTTCTCGTACACATGTGCCCTGTCATGATGGCACTGGGTGTGTGGCCCAGGAGTACCTGTGTGATGGAGAGAAGGACTGTGCAGATGGCTCTGATGAGGATGGGTGTGTCCAGCTCTGCAACACCCCAGGTAGGAGCCATGTGCAGCTGGGCCACCCTGTGCCAGGGCTTCTGGCTGCTTCCTAGTGGGGTTTTTGGGACAGGGTCCTGGTAAAGTCTGTGTCCTGGGCTCTGATGCTTGTAATGTGACATAGTGGTCCCTTCTGAACTTGGCACTGGGCTCAAAGTGCTGTTGGAAAAGAATAGAGTTGATCTCACCACTCATAGCGGCCTAGATGTGGCTGAGTTCACTGCCACAATCACCTTGCTCAGGACCTAGACTGCTGGAGATGCACTGTCTAGGAGGGACCAAGCCTTGTTACTTGTGGAGCCTTTCTAGATCACTGGAGGGCTAGTGGAAGGTCTGGGCACCCTGTCTGCCTTCTGCAGGCAGTGCAAAGCTCCTTGTGTCCCCAGGGGCCTTCCACTGCGCAAGTGGAGCTGTGTGCGTCAGGGCAGGAGAGCGCTGCGATGGGATGCCACAATGCCCTGACGGCTCAGATGAGATGGGCTGCTGGACCCCTACACAGGAGTGTGCTCTGCGCTGTGATGCTGCCACCCGCTGCATCCCCAGGAGCTGGCTGTGTGATGGCCATGCTGACTGCCTGGACCACACTGATGAGCAGGGCTGTGGTAAGACCCTGGAGCTGGATGGGATGGACTGCTGGGGTTGCCTGCCCCACAGGTGGATGCACCAGGTTTCTTGTGGGTCCAGGTACAGGCACTGCCCAGGGCAACCTGCTGAGAGGATGGAGACAGTGCCTCTGCTCAGCCCTGGCCTTTGCCCACAGTGCTGAAGGAGTGTGGTCTGGATGAGTTTTCCTGTCGGAGTGGGCAGTGCGTGGCCCTGGCCCTGTACTGTGATGGTGACCACGACTGCCAGGACGGCTCAGATGAGAAGGGCTGTGCTGTGCCCCGGCCGCCCCTCTGCCATGAGGGTGAGGTGACATGTTCCCGCAGCAGGGAGTGTGTGCTGGAGGCCTGGCGCTGTGATGGTGCTGCTGACTGTGGGGATGGCTCAGACGAGCAGGTGAGTGGAGCAGTGGGGACATAGCCTGTCCCCACTCATGCCCAGGAGGGTGGGTAGCCTTTTTCACCTTCTGCCTTGCAGGGCTGCCCTTGGGAGGAAGGGCTGTGTGAGGACCAGCAGTGGGGCTGCTCCCATGGCCACGAGTGCATCCCCAATGTCTGGCGCTGTGATGGAGAGACTGACTGCACAGATGGCAGTGATGAGGCTGGCTGTAAGCAACACCCTTGTTTTATTCCTTGTCTCACCCAGGGGTGGCTGGTGAGTGCCCAGCACAGAGGGAGATGGGTATGTGTCTGTGCTGAGGTGAGGGGCCTCATATGCTGGCTGCCTATTCCCAGCAGCTTTAGTGGCTCCAGGTCCTGAGTAGCTGCTCTCTCTGCAGGGGCCAGTGGCCTTTGGATTAATATAGCCTGAAGTCAGGCTACTGGCATGGCTCTGGATGTGGCTGCAGTGAGCTCTGGGCAGCCTCTGGGAGCAGCTAAATCTGCCCCAAATGAACAAAAGCAGCTGGTGGATGAGGCTCAGGGCAGCCTTCCCCACATGTCCCTGCAGGCCACCCTGCTCCTTGCCAGAGTCACGACTACCCCTGTGGGCTGGGATCCTGCCTGAATGCATCCCTGGTGTGCAACGGCCGGCAGGACTGCTCAGATGGTTCAGACGAAGGGGGGAACTGCTCTATGCCCTGCCAGCGGTCCTGCACTCATCTTTGCTACCCCTCACCCCAGGGCCCTGTGAGTGCCAGCAGCCCTAGGGCAAGGGCTTGTCATGTCATGATGCCCTGCTCCAGCTGCAGAAGGGAGCCTTGTGTCCCCAGGGTAGGCAGCTGATGGTCCCTTTCCCCACAGCGGTGCTGGTGTGGCCCAGGCTATCGACTTGCTGAGGATGGTCTGTCCTGTATGGACATAGACGAGTGCACAGAGTGGGGCAAGGAAGCCTGCAGTCAGACATGCCTTAATGTCCCAGGGTCCTACAGCTGTCGCTGTCTCCCTGGCTACCTGCTGGAGCCCGATGGCCATGTCTGCAAACTCACTGGTAAGTCCTGGGGTGGCCAAGCAGTGCTGAGGCTGGCCCTGGCCCTCTAAGATACACCAGGGGCTGGTGGATACTTGTCCCCCTGTGTCTGCTGCCCATGGGAAGCCTCGTAGTCCTGTGAATGGCTGGTCAGAAAATCCATCTGCACTATCTGAGAACATCCTGTGTGGTAGGACTGAGTACCAGCAAGCTCCAATGCCTGTGAGTGCTGTGTTCTTTGCCTGTATATGCTGGGACCATGGGATCACTAGTGCTGAGCAGGGTCCGCGTGTCTCTTTGTTGCCCCAGGACCAGAGCCCAAGTTGCTGGTGGCCGTGCAGTCTAAGGTGTTGTCCTATGGCCTGCGGAGTGGGCATGAGGAGGTAGTGCTGGCCACTGACAAGGATCGCGTTGTCTTCTCTCTTGACTATGACTTGGTGGAGAGGAAAATCTTCTGGATGGACCTAGCCACAGAGAGCATCCGCTGGCAGGACCTCAACTCGGGAAAGAAAGGCACACTGGTGAAAGGTGGGCTGTGACGTGGGGTTAATAGGGCTGGCCTACTGTGCAGTCTCCAGGTTGCAGTGGAGTGCCAACTGTGATCCCTTATGTAGAGAAGTGCTAGTTGGGAGCAAGGCTGGGAGGAGCCAGAGCTTCTGGGATGGAGGGATCTGGGCTGGGAGTATTATGCCAAAGGGCCATGCAGCTGTCACCCCACACAGGTGCTGCCTCTTGGATGCATTTCAGGTGTGAGATCAGACTGTATAGCAGTGGACTGGCTTGGGAGGAACCTGTACTGGACAGATGGGGCAGCAGGGCAGGTACTGGCCACTCGCTTGGGGTCTGCCTGGCAAGGGATACCAGAGTACACTGTGGTGATGGATGGAGACCTGGACCAGCCCCACTCTCTGGTGCTCCAGCCCCTGGCAGGGTAAGTCTGGGACAAGAGGACATGGGGACCTCCTTGCCATACCTGCCCTGCCCCATTTTTCTCCATGCAGGCAGTTAAGAGGCTAGGGAAGAGGTGAGATGGCCTCACCTTGGTGCTGTGGGGACTGCATGACAGAAGAGCCTAGACACCTGCCCCTGCCCTGAATGGAGCTCTTAACACACCCATGATGACATGGAAAGCTCCAGGCTGCTTTTATGGGCTGCCTTGGTGCTGGGACAATGCTGTGTCAGGTCCATAGGCCTGAACTCTCTTCCCACTAGGTTGATGTACTGGTCAGAGGTGGGGAGCCACTCACGGCTAATGGAGGCCAGTATGGATGGGAGTTGGCGGCATGTACTTCTGGCCCAGGGACTGGGCTGGCCCACAGCACTGGCCCTTGATCTCCCCACTCAAAGGATCTTCTGGCTGGATGCGAAGCTGGGCAGTGTTGGCTCTGCACATCTGGATGGCAGCAGTGTGAAGGTGTGGTGGGGCACTGGTGATGGGCCCCTGATAGGGACCAAGGTGGGCACTGACAGCCTCTCTGACAGGTCCTGAAGCTGCGCTGGGTCCAGAGCCCCTTTGCAGCAGCTGTGTGCGAGGGGCAGCTCTACTGGTCGGAGAGGAAGACATGGTCTGTGCAGCAGGTGGACAAGGCCAGTGGCAAGAACAGGACCGTGCTGCTCAAACGGCATGGGCAGCCCCATGGCCTCCAGGTACCTTCTTGGGGAGCCTCAAACCCTTCTGTGCCAGCTCTGCTGATTTCCCATCCTGCACAGCATTGTTGTCTTCTGAGTGAGGAGGCACTGGGTGGCTCCTTGGGCAGCAGTCTCTGTGGGCAAGTGTCTCTGGTCCTCTTAGAGCATCTCTGTCTTGCCATCCTGCCTTGAGCTGGGCTCTGTGTGGGTCTTGGGAGCATGGTGTGGTGTCACTCGTGCTCAGCTCTGCTGGCGAGTGCTGATGGAGCTAAGGCTGAGCCTGCTGTCCTACAGATGATGCACCCAGCCCTGCGCCCCACAGCTCCCAACCCGTGTGAGATGCGTGGCTGCTCCCACCTGTGCCTGCTGAGCACCAGGCACACTGGGCAGTGCCGCTGCCCTGCTGGGCTGATGCTGACTGCCAATGAGACCACCTGCCAGCCCATCCACAATTCAGCCTTTGCCCTCCTGGTGTCACCGGCAGCTGTGGCACAGGTACCATCCTCTGGAGTCAGCGCTGAGGGCTGCTGCTCTTGCTGCTGTCAGGGAAGAAGGGTGTCCATCTTAGTGCTGCCTCCTTCCTCCAGGTCTACCTGAAGGACCTGCCCACATCAGCTGGATTCCAAGGGCTTCCCCCGCACCAGGCCTTGCCTTTGGCCAAGGTGAGCCGCCTGACAGCCATTGACTATGCAGTGAAAGACAAGAGTTTTTACTTTGCAGAAGTGGGAGGCAATTCCATCGGACTGCTGCGCCTGAAGGACTGGGGACGGCTGTCCTGGAAGAAGGCAGTATCTGTGGAGGGCACTGTGACATCCCTGGCCTTGGACTGGCTAAGTGGGAATCTTTACTGGATTGAGGGGCAGCCACCCAGCATCCATGTGGCAGCTCCCAGGGGGCTTTGGGCCCTGGCACTACTCAGTGAGGGGCTGCAGGGCGCTGCCTGCCTGGCACTGTGTCCTCGTGCTTCCACCATGTGCTTTGTCACAGCAGCTAGCAGCCATGGGCATGGCGCCGTGGTGGAGTGTGCGGCCATGGATGGCACTGGCCGCAGAGCAGTCTGGAGGAGAGCCCGGGCTCCCGCTGGACTTGCCTTTGGGGATGCTGGTACTAGGCTGTACTGGGCAGACCACGGTGAGTGAGGACTGAGCCAGGGTACTGGGGCGGGTAGCAGTGCTGCAGGCACTCAGTCTGCAAAGCATAGCCTGGGGCAGCCCAGAGCCCTGTCTGTCGCCACACTGAAGCCTCTCCATCTGTGCCTTGCAGAGAGAGGTACCATCAGCAGTGTTGAGCTGGATGGATCCCGCTTCCGGGTGGTGCGGGAGGGGCTGCATGGTCTCTCACTCTTCGCTATAGGAGCAGGCTTTCTGCTCTGGAGCACAACCTCAACGAATGGTAGATCTGTTTGCTGTGCTTTGCCCAGCTCTTCCAACTGCACTAGGACACGGGGTTCTGCCAGTCCCTGTGGGGTGCAGGCTTGCCTCTCTGTGGGGTGAAGGGCAAGCTAGGGGGCCCCCTACCTCCCATCTCAGGCACCCTTGTGGGAGGAGGTGGAGCAGTGCTGATCCCATGTGTCTCCAGGCTCCAGCAAGATCTGGCACAGCCAGCTGGAGCAGGCTGAGAACTGGTGGTTCCCGATGGAGCAGGAGCTGGTAGCCATGAAGATTTACAGCCAGTTCTCACAGGAAGGTGGGTCTGGGACTGTCCCAGCCCAGGGCATCTGTGGGGTTCAGCTGTGCGTTGTGGTGGCCGTGATAACCCATACTGTTTTGCAGGCACCAATGGCTGTGCAAAGAGCAATGGGGGATGTGCCCAGCTCTGCCTGCCCAACCCTGCAGGGCGGCAGTGCCGCTGCTCTCCTGGATACCACCTCGTGCGTGGGGCAGCGTGCACACTGGCACCGCCTTGCCCCTTCCCGCTCCAGTCCTGCCCTGACCTCCAGAGCTGCATTTCCAGAGAGCAGGTCTGTGATGGGCGCCCCGACTGTGCCGACGGCTCCGATGAGTCTGACTGTGAGTACCTTCCCACGGCCAGGGCGTACTGGGGTGCGTGCAGGGCAGCCTGCCCAGTCTTCCCCAGTTTGGGAAGGGGAGGTCTTACCTGAGTCTGCTGATCTATGCCCATCCCTCCAGGCACCTCAGTGAAGGTAGGGACACAAGTCCCTGCAGTGGCACCATCAGCAATGTCCCACGTAGAACAGAAACCAGTCTCATCCATACCTGCACCACAGCATCGGCAGCCCCACCCCAGCCTATCAGCAGCTTCTGGCCTCCAACAGCATGGTGATTCCTTCGTGGTACCCCCTAGCACAGAGGAGGTGCTGGGGGCTGTGCCCTGCAGCAGTGAGACATGCAACCTGCGTGGGGACTGTGCCTTCGAGGCTGGCCGAGTGACGTGCCACTGCACCCTGGGCTATCGTGGTGACTACTGCGAGGAGGCTGAGGTGCAGCCCCTTGCAGGACCCATTGTCCTGGGGGTGGCCGTGCTCTTGCTGCTTGCTGCTGCTGCTGTGGGGGCCCTGGCCTACATGCGGAGGCAGGACAGGCGGAGGAGGTAAGCTCTGGAGCTGAGCTGGGCCAGATACAACTGGAAATAGGGAGGGACAGGGTGTCCTTGCCCAGGGACAGTGTGGAGTCCTGGGTTATATGGAAAGCTCCAATCACCCCAGCAGGCTATTACCAGGGTTTATGGCAGGACTTTGGGATCTGCTCCATCTCTAGGAGTTGACCATGCCATTCTTGGTATATATTTTTCCCTCTCCAGGACCTCAAGCACTGCTTCCACTCGGGTGCTGACCTTGTACCACCGTGAAAGTGATCCAGAGGAAGAGGAGGAGGAGGAAGAGCTTCCCCCCAAGAGTGATACATTTGTAAATCAAGCTTATCAAGGGAAAGAGGTGAGTAGCATCTGGAGCAGGCCCTGCTAGGGACCCTTCTGCCACCCTGCAGTGCCCCAGGACCCAGTCCTGGCATAGTGCCCAGTCTGGAGGCAAGCTCTGCCCTCCTGCTGAAGGAGAGGGGAAAGACCAGAGCTGCCTAGAGTCTGACAGGACTGTCCCACTCTGCCTGCGGCTGGACCCCCTGTGCTAAGGTGGGGGTGGGCTTAGAGAGGTTGTGTCAGACTCACCCCTGATACACCCATCTGTGATTTCTGCAGGAGCTGAAAACCTGCTGAGGAAAGTACCATCTCACATCAACACTGTATTTTCATAAAGGAACGTTGTGCAGTATCTCCTGTGCCACTGTGGTTTGTGTGTGGGCTGGGGAGGGAAGGTTGGTTTGCTCCTTCTAGATGTCTAAGACCTAGGGAATATAAGAATCCAGACAAAAAATGCTTGTAAGGTTTATCAGGCAATCTCCAATCCCAACACACTCTCTGAGACTGTCCCTTGAGTACTGTCCCTCTGCAGCAAGGCTTAGCCTGCTGAACAGGGTGCTTTGGGCTCACCTGGTATAAGAATCTGCCCAAATAACTCTGCAAGGAGACTGGCTTGGCTCCTTACCTTGCTATGCAGGGGGCTGAGAAGGATTTTATAGTGCAATTCTGACCTTCTGAGTGTCCCTTACAAACCAGTGAGACCAGTTTTACCACCTTACACCAAGCCAATTTGGAAAGGGGAAGTAAATGCTATTTTCTTCTCTCTGATCTTCCTCCCCCTCCCCACTCTGCGCTGAAGCAGCTGCACTCCAGGAAGGAGAAATCTCTTCTAGAGCTCATTTTGACCATGGGGCAAAAGTCCTTCGGGCAAGTGCTATAAAAGCTAGCTGTGGCCTTTTTATAGACCTTTCCTTCCTGCTTCAGGCAAAACACAGGGAACTTGGGTGAGCTGTTCCCACTGGCTCTCAGCCCAACCTGCCTGGCAGAAAGCAGATTGCATCCCACAGCATCTCACAGCACAAACCCATTGCTTTGCATTTATTTTGCTGTTCACACAGTCCTGAGTTGAGCATTTACATGAGACAGGTGCTCCCCTCCCCTATTGCCAGCTCTGAAGGTTACACACTTCTGACCTGTGTGTTGCTTACATGGGAACACCAAAGCTGTCTCAGCCCAAGCTACTGTGCATGTTATACAGGAAGATGAGGTAAAAGCAACATCGAGGGACTGGAGCCACCTCTGGTCCTCAATCCAGTAGGGCTTTGGCACAGTTCTAGATCCTGGAGCACAGCAAGCTTTTGAAGAAACAGGTCCTTGGTCTTGTTTCCAGCCTGTTCAGCGGGGCTGCAGGAGAAGGGCATGGCTTGCAGGGGCAGGGACCAGCACTGCTCTTGATTCCAGGGAGGTGATTGCTCTCCTAGTGTTTGGGCTACAAATCAGAGTCACAAGGTGGGCTGCTCCCCCAGTGGTGTCTATCTTGCTCATCCTCCAGCACATCCCAGGGATTGCTGTAAGCTCTATTGGAGCATGACCCAGCCTCTGTCACAGGGCTAGGGGGCAATTTGGGGGTCCTGCACTCCTTGCAGCAGTGATGGAAGCTGAGGGCGAGGGCCAGCCCCCCCAGGATCTCCATACAGCTTCCCAAATAGCTCAGTACCAAGCTGTAGCCTATGCTCAGCGTGCTGCCAGGCGGAGCAGGCAGTGCCCACAGCTCCTGGGTATACCAGGAGCTGGGCACGAGGCTCATCAGCCCAGAGAGGAGCAGCACCAGCCCTGCCACGCCGGCCACCAGGTGCCGGGGCTCCGGCTGCCAGCAGCGAACACCCAGGGAAGCCACCACAAAGCCCACCAGGGCGACAACCAGCGAGGAGGGCATCAGTCCTTGGGCGATCCGCACGGGCACTTGATCAAAGTACCCTAGCTCGTCAGCCTGCCCGCAGAGGCGGTCATGGGTGCTCTGCCGCTCCCTGCATATATCCCAGATGCCTTGCTCCCAGACGACGTCCATGGGCTGCTCAGGTATGAGGCTCACCTGCCTCCAACTGGGTGCCAGCGTGCCCGTGAGTGTCAGCAGGAGCCCGCAGGGGCACAGCACCAGTCCCACGATCATCTCCGTCGGCGTCCGCATGCTGGGGAGGTAGGTGAAGCGGGCTCCAGAGGCCGCGGGAGCTCAGGAGCTCGCTGGACAGGAGCTGTGGCACCGGTGCAGGCAGGGGGGTCCCGCGGCAGGCCTGGAGCCGGTCAGGCGGCCAGCCCACGGAGTCGCCCTAGCCCGGCCCCGGCCGTGCGGAGGTGCGGACAGGAGGCGGTGCCGGCAGGCGGAGCCCGGCCCGGGCAGGGCTGGCAGGCACCTGCTGCGGGGACAGAGCCTTCCAGGGGGCGGGAGCCCGAGGAGAGCGCTCTGGCTCCCGCTGTCTCCTCGCAGTGGCGGGATGAGGGCCATGCCCGGGCTGCTGGGGCGGCATAGGACCCTGTTACCGCTCCCCTCATTAACTGCATGCGAGCTTATTTTGCCATCAAATTAATTAAGTAATTAATGAAAATAATTAAGATGAAGTGCTTGCAGATCTCATTTGGTAACTGGCCCAAGAGACCTCCTCAGTCTCCCTGTCCTTCAGGGAGAACTCCTAAGCTTGGCCCTGCTCCTCCTGTCCCAGGCTGCCCTAAGAGGGCACCCGCAGATGCAGCAGCCTGGCTCCCAGCAGGAAGACTCTCTGGGATTGGTACGGGAAATCACCATATTTGAGAACCCCAGTGTGGGATTTTGAGCCCCAAAAAGCACTCGTCTTGGGCCTCACCAAATTTCCCTGAATTTCTGCCAGTCACACTGAGTCCAGGAGAGGGCAGCATCCTCTGTGGATCAACTTGGGATGAGCAACGCCGGCTGAGCTGGAAGGCTGGCTGCCCCACGGCATCTTTGCGCTGCTGGTTCCTGGCCTTGGCCGTCTGGAGGGCTGGGTGGGTCTGTGCTGGACCAGCTGCTCCCGGTTCTCTTCCCACCTCCTCCGTCCTACAGCTAGTTCCCAAACCCTGAAGCCCTTCAGCTCTCTGGGTGCCAGATCATTTTGGGAGATTTTTTAAAGTTGTTGAACACTGGATCTTAGTCTAGCTGGAAGGCAGGGATGGGTTGGACTCAGCCAAAGTCTTTTGTCCCCAGCCACGTCTGCAGAGCAGCCAGATGAGCATAGCTCCGGAACAGGAACACCTGGCTTTGTTGTACGCAGCCAGTAACTTGCTAAAACTTTATCCTCATCTGAGAAACTAA